ACAGAGTGAAATGACTTGCCCAAGGTCACATAGCTAGCTAGTATGGGTCTGAGGCTAGATTTGAACTCAGTTTTCCTGACTCTAGGCTTGGCACTCTATGCACTATGCCACCTACTGCCCCCAAACCTCTGGACTTACATTTTATTATCTATTAAATGAAGGAGTTAAACTGTACACATAGCCTCTAAGGCCCGCCTTCTGCTCTATATCTATGATCCCTATGAGTCTACACTGCTTCTACCCCCAGTGGAGCAAGTTGAGCTCTCCCTGACCACTAAGGAAGTAGGTGTCTCACCTGCTTCCTAATTCTGAGCACCCTAGGTCACTCTTAAAGGAGTACAAAGCCAGGGGAGAACAATACTATGGTGTATTCCTTCCCCAGCATTTCATCCATGTGAAATTTGGGTTTGAATGAATTTCCAGGGCAGGTTTGAAGGGCAAAAGAAGTAGGCAAAAGGGAGATGATGTCACAGTAGGGAGCCACAGAGCCTGAGTGGGTGTGTATCAGGCAGCCAGCCCTTGTCACACCCAAGCCTGAGTGGGTGTGTATCAGGCAGCCAGCCCTTGTCACACCCGAATTGCCTTGTTACCAAGTGGGAGGGGGTGGGAGAAGAGAGTGTAATTATAGGATTTTGTTGCCTGGCAGCGCCTTTTGTCCTACCCATTTTGCTTCAGTTGTGGAGGAGGGGAAATGTTACCCATGTTCCCATCAGCTTTAGCACTAGGTGATGGGCTGGTGTATGCCCACCCCCAAATCAGTTCCCAGGTTGTCTCCCTCAGTCACCTTCTGCATTATTCCAAGCCCCCTGAACAAGGTGGAAACCGGGATTCCTTCTCTTTTACTAACTCCTAGAGACAAATCCTGAGCCCTGATCCCTGGACTCAATCCTGATTCTCTGATTCTCAACAAATGGTCAGTCCTGGTTCCTGGCTTCTAATAATTCTCTCCATCCTTCATTTAACTCAGACTGTTTAACACCCACCCCATTGATGTCCTTTACATACAAGAAAATAGGAAGAGAGTCTAACCAAACGTCAGCATAAGCTCGGGAAACTCTCCCTCCTTTCCACTTTGCTTTGCCCACTTATAACACTTTTTGCCCTATTTAGAACTGACTGACTTTTTGAAATGCTGATGTGCTTAATACCCCATTACCTTTCCTACTCAATACACTCTGGGGGCTCTCTATTGCCTCTAGGATCAAATAAATATAAACTTATTCTTTGACTTTTAAAGCCAAATCTGCCCCCAACCTACCTTTCTAGCCTTATGATATACTACTATTTCTCTTCCTATACAGTAGGGTCCAGTCAAATTGGCCTGCCTGGTGCTCCTCACACAGGACCGTCCAGCCTGCATCTCTGCACCTTTGCATTAGAAGTCCTGGAATGAATGCTCTCCTTCCTTCTGCTTCTTAGAATCCTATTTCCTTTCGAACTGCTCAAGCACCAAGCCTCTGCTCGAAGGTTTGAGTTTTTCTTGATTCCTCCCATTGCTAGCCCTCCCTCCTCTCAAATCAACCATGTGTATATATACATGTATGTATATTTATATACACATTTGCATGTATACATGCATTTGTATGTATATGTTGTATTCATTTGTATTTGAATATTTACACACTCTGTATATATACAGAGTGTATATATATATACACTATGTATACACTATATATGTATTGTGTGTGTATAAAGATAAATACATGTATGTACTATGTATATACACTGTGAAAAATGATTTTTAATCATTATCTTGGAGATTCAGAGCTTTCCCCAGTCCCTTTCTTCCAAAGTTGTTTTTCTTCAGGATGTTACTGATAATGTGATTGCATTGACTCTTCTTATCCTAGTCACACCCCAACCCAAGCTCTGAAGTAATTTAATCTAAAAGGGAGACCCATGGTGTTCTGCTCAGGCTTGGGTGGAGACAGATTCTTTTGTCTTGATAGCCCAAATCCTGGGGTGGTCTAATAAAAGAGATATTGCCTCTATCCAGAGATAAAATGATGGTAGCGTGATATCATCCCTGGTTGAAAGGGCATATAATCTGTGCCCCCAAAACTCAAAAGGAGCCCAGTTCCAGACTGGCTCCCACATATGCATGTCGTCAGCTTTGAGAGAAATAAAACTATGGACAAAACCTAATCATGTTTGTCTTAGATCAAACACTGAGGTTGAAAACACATAGATATAGATAGATAGATAGATAGATAGATAGATAGATAGATATTAATATGTATCAAGCACTCTCTGCCCTCACTCCCTCTCCTGAGTCAGTCTATCTACATCTCTCCTTCAGGGTTCAGGGTTCCCTTGAAGGGCTGACATGTTTTTTTCTTAATGCTATCAGCCTGAGCCCCAATATTAGTAGGGTCCCCTCACTGTTAACTGCCAGTTACTAGCACCCCAGTAGTTTAACCAATCAACAATTAGCTTTTAATCAATTTAATTAATCAATTAAATTTTACAAAAGAATGTTTACTTCAAAGAGATAAAAAGAACAAAAGTAAAAATTGTTTTCCCCCCCCCCCCCCCCCACTGGTGCCTCAGGGGAACACTCTCTTCTACACCGCCTTCGTCCCAGGGGAGAATGATTTCAAACTCAACAATTTCTATGTGACATTGGTTTAAACTCAAATGAGGCACTGATGCAGGATGAGTCCTCATCTTAGCCTCTGCTGGGCTGAGTCCTGAAGGTCTTGTCCCTTCTTGGGGCACTTGACCGACTGTGAAATCTAGCCGGTCCTCTACTCCTGGACCTGGGGTGGCTCATTTTCCTGACCTCTTGATCCTCACAAGACTGCCGCCTCCAACCTGGGTTGGAATGAATTTCCACGGCAGGCTTGAAGGCAAAAGAAATAGGCAAAAGGGAGATGATGTCACAGTGGGGAGACATGGCGCCTGAGTGGGTGTGTATCAGGCAGGCAACCCTTGTCACACCCGAGGTGCCTTGGGACCAAGTGGGAGGGGGTGGGAGAGGAAAGAACTAATGCCCAGGCCAAGAACTGAGACCTTTACTCAAAGGCAAATATTGGCCTCTGAAGAGGAGAGCCCAAGACAGTGGTGTTCTGGTAAAATGTTTAACAATCATCTCCCTGGGGGTGGGGGAGGGGGAGAATGTATACAGGACACACTTGTAAGTTTAATCAGAATTATTAACATTTTCTCCATCACTTTCTTAAGTCTAGACAATCAACAAAACAAATCAGGTCCTGATTTGTAGCATTTGCCAATTTGCAAGGGTTAAATGTTCATATTGAAAATTTATTGTATTAAATAATTATTGATAATTAATTGTTTATAATTATTACATTAAATAAGTATTTATGATTGCCTATAATTAATATATTAAACAATTATACATAAGCTAAATTATTATTTAAATAATTATTAGATTGAGTATATTATTTGCTATTAATTTTAATAACATTATATTGTTAATAATGTTATATTATATATTAAATATATTATTTGCTATTAATTTTAATAATGTGAAAATATATACTTAATACATTTTATAATTGACTATGATAAGCCACTAGGTGGCAGCACCAGATAGTGTACTGGTCCTGGAATCAGGAAGACCTGAATTCAAATTTAATCTCAAACATTTACAATGAGTTCAGTAACTCTGGGCAAGTCACTTAACTTCTGTTTTCCTCAATTTCATCATCTGTAAAATGTGGGTGACAGAAGCCCTGAACTCCTGGTTGTTGTGAAGATCAAATGAGATAGTAATTGTTGGGTGCTTAGCACAGTGCCTGGCATATAGCAAAAGCCATGTAATTGTCAGACATTATTATCTCATGAGCTAGCTGTCTCCTGCATGCTCCTGCCCGTAAGTCTCTCCCCATACAGTATTGGTTCTCTTCTCTAATTGGTCTTTTTTTTTGTTTTTTGGCTAGGCAATTGGGTTAAGTGAGTTGCCCAGGGTCACACAGCTACTAAGTGTTATGTGTCTGAGGCCCAATTTGAACTCAGGTCCTCCTGACTCCAGGGCCAGTGCTCTAACCACTGCACTACCTAGCTGCACCCCTTTTCTTCTCTAGTTGGAAAGTCATCAGTAGGAAGAGTCAAACCAAGAAAAAGGCAGCCTTTTCTAAGAAGGGATAAAGCTGACTAGGGCTTTTGGAATACCCCCCAGGTCGAGCTACATGGTCTTAGCCTAACACAGATACACACACATATTGGCTAGGCAATGGGGTCAAGTGACTTGCCCAGGGTCACAGAGATAGTAAATGTCAAGTGTCTGAGGTCAGATTTGAACTCAGGTCCTCCTGACTCCAGGGCTAGTGCTCTGTCTACTGTGCCACCTAGCTGTCCTTTGTTCATCACTTATTTGCAGAATGTATGCGCGTGCTCCAAACGTCTTTAAGATTTTACAGGTCATCGAGACTCTCCTGGAGGCAGATCCCCAGCCTCTTCCATGTGAGGCACTAAATGAGTGGTACTCTGCATATCTTCATCAGGTCTGGGCTTAATGGCCCACCCCCTGTTACATGCGTGTAACTATTAGGATCTTAGAACCCATCTAGTTCAACTCCCCTAGTTTTACAGATGAAAAAACTAAGGACCAGAGGTTAAAAGACTTACTCAAGGTCACATGGTTATTAGTAGCAGAGTTGAGTTTTGAACCCAAATCCTCTGCCTTTCCAAAGTCAGTGCTTGTTTCACTGGAGATAGTGAGGTAGCACAATAGATAGAACCCTGGGCTTGGAGTCAGGAAGACCCGAGTTCAAATCCAGCCTTAGATACTTACTAGCTGTGGCCCTGAACATGTCACTTAACCTCTGTCTGCCTCAGTTTCCTCAATTGCAAAATGAGGATAATAACAGCACCTACCTCCCAGGATTGTTGTGAGGATCAAATGAGATAATATTTGAAAAGCCCTGAGCACAGCACCTGGCACATGGTAGGCACTTAATAAATGCTTGTTTCCTTCCTACTGCACACCTGCCATATTATTTAGTCTTGAAAGGACCCAGGTTATAGCTTTAAAAAAAAAAAGTGGAATTATCTATGAATTTGTATGACATCCTTGCACAGGGACCATGCTAATCTCTGTATTATTCCGATTTTAGTATAATGTGCTGCCTAAGTGAGTACTATAAAGAGCTTCCAATGCCTAACAGAGAACTTTGTATTTGATCCTGTAGGTAGTAGGGAGCCACCGAAATTTGCTGAGTAGGGGGGATGGCATGGTCAGACCTGAGGTTTAGGAAAATCACCTTGGCAGCCAGCAGTGGAGGAGAGATTAGTGTGGAGATACAAAGGGCTTTTGTCTAGCTGTGGTTGAAAAACCTGGCTTTGTCACTTTCTACATGACCCTGGGCAAATCACATTACTTTCCTAAGCTTCTGTTGTCAGCTAATAGTAAGAAAGCCTTTTAGATTTTTTCCTATAGAGGCTACTCCCTTCCATATCCTGCTGAACTTAGAGTCAGGAAGGCCTGAGTTCAGATTTTGACTCAGATGCTTACTAACTGTGTGACTCTGGGCAAATCTCTTAACTTCTCAGCCTCAGTTTCCTCATCTGATAAAAATGGGTGCCTTACAGGATCAGTTCTAAGGATCAAATAAGATAATATATGTAATGTGCTATATAAATAGCACATTAAAGTTCTATATAAAGGATGACTATAAATTATAACTACTATTATTTTTGTTGTTATTGTTATTATCATTACTTACTTTGGGACACTGTAACTGCTGATCCATGGTTCTGAATAGAAAGCAACTTCATCTCCCAAAATCAGACCTAAGGGTGGCAGAAAGGTAGATGGAGATATGTCTCCTTGTACGTTCTGAATGTATGTGTGTGAGTAACTATTTACCCAATGATTTCAATGCTAACAATAAACTCTATAATTATATTGCAGGTAGGTGTGGCTCTGGACTAACATATTTACCCTGGTCTATTATTTCTGAATTTCTATATTCTTTCCCCTTCACCCCAATATACTCTAGAAGGTATGTTCTTGTGGTCTGGATCAGGAAAGGGATGAGTTGCAGAAAGGGGATGAAGGTGTTAACAATGGGGTACTGGGTGCTTGTACTCAGCCCCCCCCCTTCCAAGATCATATTTCTCTCTGGCCTCAAAACACTATCCCTGACAGTTTCCCTCCAGCCCAAGGACCCTATCTCTGGCAGTAATGCATGGGTGGAACCAGTGAGTCAAACTCTCTCTCCCCGTCGTAAGAACAAACTGACTTTTGTAGAATTTCCCTTGTGTGAACAGGACTATCTGGTACCAGCAGAACTATCGAGTACTGATGCCCACAGTGACCGTATATGATCCAGAGGTCAAGCTATAGATGTCAACCCCAGAAACTATCTTGTTACAGACCCAACAGGCCAAAAATATACCCTTTAGGAATCCTCTCTTCTCCCCTCTCCCCACCGTTTCCAGTAGTGAATGACACCTGTGACCAAGGTTGTATGTTATCCCCTAATCAGCATACTTGCCACATAATTCACTACTTTTTCTATATAAGTTTTAGCATCATTCCTGTTAGATTTTAAGTTCCCTAAGGAACTCCGCCCACCGTGGCAGGTTACTTGCGAATCCTTGCCCACTTTATAGTGTAACAATAAATCTTTGCCACCTTGACTTAAAGAATGCTTGAGTCTGTGTCTTCATTCCAGACAACCCCATCCTATACTCTGGTCCTTGAGGGGTCTAAACCTCTCAGACACTAACATTTTTGGCGCCCAATGTGGGGCCTGTCTGAAGTCTCAGGCATTCTCTGAGTCAAAGTAAGCCTCCCCCTCCCCTCGCCCTATAGTTGGGTCACCCCTCAAGCATCTAGGAAGGCTTGCAGGGGCTTTGAGTCAAGCCTGCAACAGGCTCTGGTAGATTTCCCTCTTGACAAGGGATGCCTTGTTTGGGAACTTCTGTGGGTTATTTCTCCCTCTCCAGGACACTGCTTGAGGCAAGCGCTTATTGGTTTTCCTTTCTATCTATAGGCTTATAGGCAAAAAGGATGGGCTGATCCATATCTGGTCACTGGATCCAGATGGCTCTGGAGGAGGGAGTGAGGCTGGTGACTGCATAGCCCTCCCTCACTCAAATCCAATTCACTTGCCTGTCATGACATCACCTCCCTGATGTCATGGTTCTCTTTGAGAACGAAGGGTAAACAGCAAGTACCCAGGGGCAGGAGAGAGGCTTGTAAGAGTTCTTCTTCCCTTTTCTCCCCAATCCATGCCTGAGAGAAGACAGAGCATCATTCTAAGGATGGGTTACAGCTTATCTGGGGTGACCTGGAAAAGGGCATACAAGTGAGAAAAACTATAACCACTGCTAAGAGATAGAGAGAAGTTGGAATTCAAAGAGGGAGAAACCAACTGCAAAATATACCTTAACAACCATCAGGCTTCAAATGAATACCTATAAATGTACAGGCTCTTTTTCCATTAGAATGCAAAGTCCGTGGCTGCTTCAACTTCACCTTATATCCCTAGTGTCTGAAACTCTCTCCAGCATTTGTTACTGGGATGGGGATGGTGGGTGGGGGAAGGGTCTGGCTATGGCATAACTGTAACCAGGATGGGGTGAACGGAGATTTGCCCCCAGGGCACCCAATTTAGGAGATGCTGGCAATACTTGCAATACTTGTCTTTTTGTAGTCACACTCTAAAACACCCAAATCCCAAAATTTAGCATGTAAGAATCCAGGATAATTAGTTAAAATAAGAAGCTACAAAATGGTGAATTTTAGAGAGATCTGTACAGTGGCCTCCCCAGAAGCCAACTCCCATCAGTGTTCCAAGATCTTTCTCTCTGCTTTGGGGGAGGTGGCCATCCCCAGTTCCCTCTGAAGGAAGGAAAGAAGACTGTGCTGTTTGCTCCTATAGAAATTCATGCTATTAGTGATTGCCTCAGGAGTAAAAATGTCAGCTAGGTGGTACGTCGATAGAATGCTGAGTCTGGAGTCAGGAAGACTCATTTTCCTGAGTTCAAATCTGCCTTCAGAGACTTCCTAGCTGTGTGACCCTGGGCAAGTCATTTCACCCTGTTTGCCTCAGTTTCCTCATCTAGAAATAAGCTGGAGAAGGAAATGGCAAACTGCTCCAGTATCTGCCAAGAAAACCCCAAGTGGAGTCATAAAGAGTCAGGCACAAATGAAATGACTGAATTACAAGAAGTGTAAAAGTACCTGGTTTATCTTGGGACAATTCCCAAGGCACTTTGATTTAATCTGGGGGTTTCCCTGTCCTCTTAACAAAATGCCAATGGGCAACTCCATAAAGAGGTGGCAGGTAAGCCCACTAGCTTGATGGGATCAGTGGCAGACTCCCTCAATCACCTTTCCCTTGCCAATTTCTCTAGGGGAATATCCTTGATTTTCTAACCTTTCCATGACAAAGTATGAACAATCTGTTACTCAACCTTCCCTCTGACCTCCAAGGTGTGAAGTGGGCTTTGTTGGGTCACTGGATGATGAGTATCACTTATCACGGAAGTTACCATTGCAAGCTTTTATTTAAGATCCCTTTGGCTCAGTGGACTTGAGAAGCACCATGGAACCGCAGAAAGAACAAATGGTCTGGAGTCAGAGAATCTGGGTTCAAATCCTTGTTTTGTGTGTGACCATAGGGAAGGAACCTTTCCTGTTTCTTCATTTGCAAAATGAGAGAACTCCCTCCCATTAGTTCTAATTGTTCTTTATATCATGACTAATGAGAAAATATGCTTAATATGAATGTATAAGTACAGTCTATATCAGATTGCATGCCGTCTTGGGAGGAGGAGGAGGGGAGAAAATTTAAAACTCAAAATGTTATGGGAGTGGATGTTGAACACTAAAAATAAGTAAATTAATTATTAAAAAACAAAAACAAAAACAAAAGACTCATGATAGAAAATGCTATCCACCTCCAGAGAAAGAACTATGGAGTCTGAATGCAGATTGAAGCATACCATTTTCTCTTTTTATTTTCTTTCTCACGGTTTTTCCTTTTGTTATGATTTTTCTTTTACAACATGACCAATGTAGAAATATGCTTAACATGATTGTACATCCTATCCTATCCTATATCAGATATATCCTATGTATATCCTATATCTGATCGCATGCCATCTTGGGGAGGGGGGTGAGGAGAAAGGGGAAAAAATTTAGAACTCAGAATCTTATAAAAGTGAATGTTGACAACTAAAATAATAACATAATTAATAATTACAAATAAATAAATTATTTATAATAAAATACATTAATAAATTAAATAACTAATGTTAATATAATTAATATAGGTATTAAATACATTTATTAAAATAATAATAAATAATTTTTTCAAATGAGGGAACTGGACTAGATGGCCTGCCAGCTCTAAATTTATGCACCTATGACTTGGGTTTGAATCCTGGCTCTGTTACTATCTGTGTGACTCTGGGCAAATCCTCTAACCTCTTTGGGCTTCAGTTGCTTCATTCATAAAATGTGGGGTTAGGACCAAGTGACTAAAATCCCTATCAGCTCTGAATCCTGTGATATTGTGCACTGCAGGGGTGTATGGGTGTTCAGGGAGGACTAGCACCTCTGGTGTGAGGGCTGCCGGGCCCTTTTCAGGGCTGTTCATCCACTTTTGGGGTTCACCTGTCACCCAACTCTCACCTGTAGCTCCAAGAAGCTTTAGCACACACAGTGGCCACAGTCCAGTAAACAGTTCCGGCAGACAGGCTAAATCAGGTTGAGAGTAACTGAAGGGTCTCAAACCAATCAGTGAGATAGGTGGGTGTCTACCCCAAGCGTGTGAAGACTTCCCCCAGCAAAATGGGCTGATGTGAACATTTGTTCCAAAGGGACACGAAGGGGGCAGAAGCAGGAACTGTGGAGCCTTAGAACTTGGTTAGACATTAAAGGTGCCAAGGCCATCCACCTCATCCTGAGCCATTGACAACTGTCCTGACTTTTGCCTTGCCACTGGACTTCAATGACTCTGGAAGAGAGAGTGAGGCCAACAACTTCCCACAACTCTGCCTCACTTAAATCCAATATGCCAGCAAGTCAAAAGACATCACCCATACCATTTCACCATTTTCACTTACCTTAAAGTCCTGTGGTAACAAGTAAGTAAAGAAGCAGCAGGTGTGGATACACTGGGAAC